GATACACACAGGAAGAGGACACAGTGGAAAGTGACAGACTATTTTGTCACTCTCTCACTGACTCACTGGGCGGCTGAACCCTCAGCAGTCTGCAGAATCACCTGACAATGGTTGGAACCATATTGCACAATCGCCTGACCATGGTTTCAGCCATAATCTGCTTTAAAGTTTAAACCCTACTGCAAGTTGGAAGACGCAGGAGAGCTCGCAGGCAGCCTGGACAATGCTACTTATAGCCAGGCATAGTGGGTGAGGGGGCCGGCACGCAGCAAATCAACGACGCACACAGTACGCAATACATAGTAGTGAGGCAAGTGGGCGAGCACGCAGCAACGCAACATAGCACACATCATGGGAAACACTATGCATTACATAGTAGTGAGGCAAGCGGGTGGTTGAAAGCCACGCACACAGCAGCACGAGAAGGCACACAACACAGTGCAGTACTAGGCCAGCTGCTATGGCAGCAACAACACGGAAACCCGCGGATGTGGCAAGGATGTGGCAAGGATGAGGATGTAACCTAGCACACAGCATGGGAGACACTATGCATTACGTAGTAGTGAGGCAAGACGGTGGGTGGGCGGGCAGAGAGGCGAGCACAGAGAAAGGCAGGCCCGCATGACACCAAGGCAGACAGCGACAGGAGCAACATGGCAGCAACAACACAGAAACCTGCGGATGCGGCAAGGATCGAAGTGGATTATCACCTACTCACAGCAAATGGAAAACTCTGCAGACTGCAGGTTCACACCACCACGAAGTGCCAGGGACGCACATGACAAATGGCTGTCACCACCACGAAACATGAAGCAACTGGCATCTTGAACACGGCATGTTGTTTCCGGTAATCTGGGTGAAAAGGCACTGACTATTTGGCACAACTCGAGGGTGCTGCACTCGTTTATGAGGAGCACACAGGGGGAGAGAGGGGAAAGAGGGGAGAGAGGGGAGAGAGAAAGTAAAAGACAAAATGTGTGTGTTGTCATGTTCGCTATACACAACTCCACAAAATGCTCCAATCTATTCGTGGGGAGCAGCACGTGCTGGGGACCGGGCCCAGAGTCCCATATAAAAAATACACAAGTATTAAACCTCTACAGTCTGCAGAACCGGACTAAGTTATCTACCCTCCCTCTACAGGGTTGAAGTCTTGAGTCATGATCTTTTTTTCTCTTTTCTGTTCCATATTGAAGTCTTGGGTCATGATCTCCGTTAACCCTGAAGGAAAGGAAAAGGAAAAGAAAAGAGAAAAAAGAATCCTGTCGTAACAGCACGAGCAGCAACGCAAGGGGGCAGTTAAACCACCAGTACTTCCCTGAAGTCCTGCCCATTAACAAGCCGGCATTTTAGGAAACGTACGGGCCACTACAGGATTGCCCAAATTCATCCGACAAGAAACGTTTGGACTCTATTCTTTTTCCACGGCCGATAGCTGAGCCAAGTACAGGCGGTTTAACGGCAAGCAACAGCAAGGCACATATGCCGGGGAGGGCACAGGGGAGGCAGGTGGGCAAGCCAAAAAAGTAGGCAAGCAGCAGGGAAGGGTTATTAGCTGGAATGGGAACAAGGAAACAACACACTGAACGGGAAGCAACAGGAAGGCACGTAGTCTGGAGGGCATGAGGGAGGCGGGTGGGCAGCCAAACGACAAGGCAAGCTGCAGGGAGGCATCATGCACAGCCTATGTATCACCCGCGGCTGCAGCCACGGGGTCAATCACGGCACGCGGCCAAGTTCACGGCCGCGGTCGGGGGGCGGCCACGATATTAGGGGATTTTTCCCCGACAAACTAATGGGTAGGGAAAAAAAAAAAAAAAAAATGCGGTTGTGGGTTTTTTCAAAACCTACAACGCCATATTTGTTTTTTTCCGAAAAAAATAAAATTTGGGAATAAAATTAATGGGAGCGGGGGAGAAGAGAAATTCAAAAAAAAAAAAAAAAAAAAAACAAGATTTTTTTTTTTTTTTTTTTTTTTTTTTTTTTTTTTTTTTTTTTTTTTTTTTTTTTTTTTTTTTTTTTTTTTTT